GCAAACCCGCCACACTGCTGGGTTGTGAGGGGCTGGCAGGGATCTTGGAAGATCATGCAGCCCCCGGCACCAAGCAGGGAAGAGAAGCGGGGGCAAGTCACCCCAGCGAGGCGCCCGTCCGGCCTCCCCGGGAAGAGTCCCGGGGTAGGGGCTTGCACCACGTCCGGAGGGAGCTTCGCCCTGACGGTGACGTTTTTCCCACAGCTGAGCCTGAAATGATCTTTCAGGAGTTTGTGGCTGTTACTGCTAGTTTTCCCCAAAGGTGCCCTGGTGAACAGTTGTTCACTGAGCCCTTGATGTTCGCCTCTGATGTAGCGGTAAGCTACTACCAGATCCCCTCTCAGCCTAGTTTTCTTCAGGCTGGAGAGTCCCAGGTCCCTCAGCCTTTCCTCGCGTGGCTTGCCACGCAAGTCTCTGATCATGCGGGTGGCCCTTCTCTGGACTCTCTCAAGCTTTACCACGTCCTTGTTAAAGTGCGGTGCCCACAACCAGACGCAGTACTCCTGCCGCGGTCTCCCACTGCCAGTGGGAGAATCACTGCCTTGGTTTTGCTGGAGGTGCATGGATTGACCATGCACGGGGGCACCAGTGCAGGGCATGCACAGCACACAGCGCCGCCCTGGACTGGCCCTATGCGCTGGCTCTGGCGCAACCCGATCCAGCCCACGGACCAGCCCAGACACCCTCATCTATCCCATGGGGCTGGGTGAGTTTGACACCCCTGTTATACTCCGTATTCATTTGCATGGGCTTGGCAGTAAATGATATGTTGTGGGTGTGGTGCCCTTCATCTCAAAAGTTTCAGAAACCGTTTACAATCTTTGCATGCCACAGTCATTTGCATCAGCTTGTCCACATGGGATGCAAGGGGCTGTACAGCTGGAAGTTCCTTATTTATTAATTTTTTTTAAATCACGCCTTGACTAACCAGACACTGGCGGTCTCATGATGATTCTGGCCACAAACTGAGATGAAAATATGTTGCCTTTGGAAATTCCAGCAGTAGTTTAATTTGGGCTCCATTTTTCTACTGCAGCTTGAACCAACAATCGTGCTGGTTTTTTCCCTGCTGCCCCAGCTGTATGGAAGAGGCTCCTTGTAAACAATGGCAAGACCACCTCTCTTTCACTCTTCTGTTAACAGGCCTACAGAAAACTGATCTTACAACACCTTGTGCCCTCCCCAGCTTCTCTATTATATCCAGTTGATCTCTCCTGCCTTACTTTTATACTGAAAGCAGGGACTTCTTGTGTGTAGTTGTCCAAAGTCTGGTACAGCGGAGCTCCAAATACTTATTATTCACACAACACCTAGGACAAAAGAACATTATTAAGCTTGCAAAGTCTAGCCCTCAAAAGTTAGAAATGCTTGTGCCACCTTAATTTGGCTTCTCCCTGTGTACACACAAAATGGTTTTTCTATTATGTGATAATATGCTGTGTTTTCCACAGGACCTCTGCTTCACTGAGTTCACTGAATAGCTGGCGTTCACGTAATGAGCAGGTATTTAGTATTTTGTTTTGTCCTCCTTTTCCAATGACTGGCCTGAGGCCTTATTGTTAGTCAAGCACTGCTTGGAAGACAGAATTAGTAATGTTTTCCAAGTCTTTTCTACTATGCAGGGTTGGGAAATGTTAGATCCACTATGATTGGAAATAGCAAAGGAACTGATAGTAGTCATCTGTGTTGATCACTACTAGAAAATGTGCTGGGGGAGAGGGAAGGAAGGGCATTCGCTGGCTCCCATACCAGACTCTGAAGGGAAATTTGCTCTAGGGGGGACAGTATCCCCAAAGCTTGACCCCTTCTGCTCTCTCCCTTTTATGCAGTCCATGTCCCATGCCTGTATCTTCCCCACCTCTGGGTCCTTGCCCCACTCCTGTTCTCACCAAGCCAGTCCCTATGTCCATTCCTTAGATTTTGCATCCCTTTCCTATTCTCTTTGCCCAACAAGGTCAAATCTTGCCCTCTGAAATCCTGTCCTGTTCTGTCTAAGACCTTTGCCTAGCCATTCCAGCACTTTTCATCCAGTTATAGGTTATGCCTTTAGACCAGGGATGGGCAAAATGTGGCCCGCGGGCCAGATTCACCCTGCCAAGGGAGGTCCCTTGGTAACACCTAGCCCAGGAGCAGGGGGCAGCCCAGGTCATGGTGCATGCAGCTGGTCCCGCTGCCTCCAGGCTGGGAAGAAGTGGCGGTCGGACTCGCTGCCTGGCAGCAGGGGCTCCTGCCAGCTGCCACCACCGGACCTGGCCCTGCTGCCCGGGCACCCTGGCTCATCTGCACGGGCAGGTGGGGAGTGGTGTTTGGAAGTGGGATGAGGCTGGGATCTTGAGGCGGTGCACTTGGGCACCTGCCTGCCTGTCCCGCTCCTGCATGCTGCTCCCCCAATCCCAGCCCCATCCTGGCCAAGTGCAGAGCACAGCCGTGATCCGCTGCCCACACGCCCCTGTGAGGGGCACTGGTTCTGCAGTCAGGGCCACGTGGGGAGCAGATCCCAGCTCTGCCCCGGCCCTGCGCTGTCACTTCCCTGTGATCCCAGGATCTCCCTGGAGACTGGCCGGGAACCACCTGGGCATAGCATGCAGCCAGGTGGATGGGACGGGGCTGCTTAGGGAGTTTTGGTGAGCTGCTGCATGGAGTATGGGGTTGGGGAGCGTGCTGACCCAGCCCACAACAGCTCATCCAAACTCTCTATGTGGCTCATGCGCCCAAGTAATTGCTTTAGACCTTTTGTTTAAATCTAACTCCTGCCTCTCCGCATAGGTTCAGCTTTTGTTCCCTCTGTATTTGAATTAGGCATCTTTCTCCACCAAGCCAAATTGGCCTAGCAGGGAATCACTGAGAGCACAGAAGAAAGAAATTTCTGGCTTTCAGTTCAGGTGCCCAAACCCTGCCCAGACCGCAGCACCCAAGAGCTGCAATTACAGAAAGAAGTCTTGCTGAGTCCTGGGCTTGAACATGCCTAGTACACAGATAATATTTGGGGAACGTAGCAAGTCTCTACCAAGCCTGTGTGAACTGCAAGTTTTCAGAGACATATAATGTAACCAAGTTAAGGTGGATATTTGCAAGGCTGGCAAGAGAAATCTCCATGATATAAAAACCTGCCTTTATTCATCAAACAAATTTTGAATTCCCGTTTCAAAGCACAGTAGCACTAGAGCTTTCCAAAGAGAAATTTCCCAAAAGGCATAAAGACTGCTGGCCTCCCTTGTCCGATACATCACCCAGAACAGTCAAGATGTCAAAGAAAGATATCCATACTAAGCAAATTCCCAAATTGAGCCTTAAACTGGACGGTCCCTGGAGTGCTGCTAAAAGGAGTCTGTTCTCCAAAGTGTGTGTGTGTGTGTGTGTGTGTGTGTGTGTGTGTGTCTTTCACCAACCAAAACAATTCCTCCTGCTGCAGATTTTACACAAGTGGTCAGCTAGCTAGTCATTGCTTCTCCACACAGTCACGTAAGTGTAATATGAATTAATTATCTGAGGTGAGCTCAGAATTATCTGAGGTCAATTCATGTGTTTGAGGATAAAGGAGAACTGTCCCAGAAGATATTGGATACAGTAGATCTTATTTTTGTACAGTGATATCTTTCAAAATCATGCACAGAGCCATCTCTTTTTGATTTTCAGCTATGATAAATATCCCCTCTTCAGGGAAAGTTGTACCCTTCAAAAGTCCTTACTTTAATGAACAGCACAGATTTGAATAGGAGAAATCATATGCCTTTTCTCTGTAGCATGTCTCATAATAAAATTAATCTGTCAGATAATCAGCTTACTAATAAAAAGCGAATAAACAAGGTGGGGTTCCTTTAAAAAAACCTGAATCAGAAAAAATATTTTTGAAATGACAAAACACTCTAATACTTTGAAAAACCTGGTTCATGCTGATTAGCTGATTGATGTATTTGTTGGGGAAAGCCAAGGAAATCCCTACATCTTCTGATGTCTTTTGTTTTCTAGCTTGATTGTTCATTATCTTTCACTGTGAAATAATTCATTTGCTGCTTCCTCTACTGTCTACTTTCTGTATTTCACATTATTCTTTGCAAAGCATATTATGAAACATTCACCTAGGAGGTTGATGTGTGGCTTGTCCCCTTCAGGAGTCACAGAAGTGAAATCCTGTGTCTGATCAAGTGCATAGCAAGACTGTTTCTGTGTCTGTTTAAAAATGCAACTGCCTAATGGTAGTGCAATAAAAAAAATGGGTGTGCTGCTCCAACAGCCTCCATCACACAAAACTGAATGCCTTCTGCCTGAGCAAATGATCTCTGAAAAATTCTGTGGCCTGCAGATGTGCAGTCATCCTTGGAGGAGGCACAGAAGTGTTGAACGCCACATGGGAAGAGTATGGTTCTGGGCAGGTATCAAGTGGGATAGTACTGACAGTCT